CCCAAAATACAGTTCACCATGGAAACAGAAGCTAACAACCAACTTCCCTTCCTGGATGTCTTAGTCTACAAGAAATCCAATGGCTCCCTAGGACACACCATCTACCAGAAGAAAACACACACAAACTGCTATCTGCACGCTCTCTCACACCACCACCCAGCACAGATCAACTCTGTAGCCAAGACACTCATCTCCAGAACAAAACGCTGAGCTGACGAACAACACCTAAAACCCGAACTACACACTCTCACCAATGTACTAACATCCAATGGATTCCATAGAAATAAGATTACAAACCTAATCCAAAAAGAAAACCCCCACCAAAATCCAAGACAAAGAACAAGAAAACGGCAAAGCCCTCCTCCCATACATAAAAGGCACCACAGACAGAATCAGTAAGATCCTTCATAAACACAACATCAAAACAGCATTCTGCACAAACAGAAAAATATCCACCATCCTTAGAAACCCCAAAGATAAAATCGAATTAGAAAATCAAGGAGTATACGAAATCCCATGCACCACATGTCCCACCACATACATCGGACAAACCAACAGAAGAATAAGTGCACGCATTGAAGAACATAAGAACTCAGTCAAAAAAGAGGAACCAACATCTTCCCTGGTCCAACACCTTAAAGCCACAGGACACGAAATTGACTTTAAAAATACCAGAACCATGGCCAAAAGTGAACATTTTAATAACAGAATAATCAGAGAAGCCATCGAGATAGAAAAACGCCCACACAGCATGAACAAGCAAGATGATACCTCCCGCCTACCAGCCATTTGAAAACCCGCCCTTATTGACAAACGACTCCCTAACCCAAATCTTATTAAAACCCTCTGCAACTCAGACTAACCTGAGCACAACCAAACAGAACACTCCCCCAGCCAATCAGAGCACAGCCAACCCCCCAGCCAATCAGAGCACAGCCAAGCCCCTAACCAATCAGAACACACCTCCACCAAATCAGAACACAGCCAAGCTCCCACCCAATCAGTTCATACCCCCACTGGCAGTTAAAAGGAAGAAACAGCTAAGACCACACATTGCTGCTCAAAGCACGAAGCTGAAAACAAAGCCTGAAGATGACGGAATGTGAATTCGTCGAAAACGTTCCAAGACACTTCAATTTACGAGGAGAAAAACCCGAACAACACAAGACCTATATAAAATACCCGCGAAAACCTCGAAAACACACACACATATATATATATATATATATATATATATAACTATAATATACATATAATATATATATTACATATATATATATATATATATATATATATATGTATATATATGTATGTATGTATTTCCAGATATAAGCCCAGAACACATCACCTAAATCATGTTGGGTTTTACCATTGTTTGCCAAACAAGCCAAACGTGATTGGGTTCATACTTTGCACCAAACCAAAACTAACAAAACTATCAATCCAGTTGTTATATCCATATCAGTAGTAGAATATAGGAAGGACCCAAAAATCAGATCATTACCCCTACTCTGTGTCTCCCATGTCACCATCCATCTTCACTATAAATCCGGTGGCTTTTGTCCAGCAAAGGTGTCTCCGTGAACATTCCTATTGGGTCACCTATAAAGAATGAACTGTGTTGAACTGGACCATTTATGTTTTCCAGAGAAGTTGAGGAGCAGAGCTAGAGATCTATTGGCAGGGAAGGGAGGGGCCTGGAGAAAGGGAAAGACTTTATGGATTCAAGGAAGCAACCTAGAATGGATGGGTTCTGTTCAACATGGGACAAGAGCAGGTTTAGAGAAAGTTTTTAGTGAGGAAGAGGTTCCTCCCCTGAAGAAAGCTTTCTGTGGAGGGTTATCATGTCTAGTGGTTTGTAATTCGGTGTACGGAGAAATTAAATAAAAATAAAGTCTATTTCAGGAACAGCAATACATTCTAGTTGCATTTCCATTTTGCATATGCTGTAGAGTTTCGGGGATCTCAATTTGTTTTTCATTTTAAAAACAAGAGTTAGATGAGAAAAGGACATTTGAAAGCAAGTGTTCCTGATATAGCCTGCTTCTTTCCCTGATTAACCTCTCCCTGAAAACTCATTTAAAAAGCAAGCTGTGCTCTTTGTTTCAGAAGAAAATAAGTATCTTCTCTGTGCAATGCCTGAAACCACAAACAAGGCAAGGAAAAGCATTCTCCCAGATGCTCTATTGCAGGGGTGTCAAACTGCCGGCCCACAAGCCAGACACGTCACCAGGAAACCGCGCCCACCCCATTGCCGGCAAGGGGGAAAAAGCTCCAATACACTGTGCGATGTCACGTGACTCACGAGTTTGACATGTCTGCTCTATTGTTAGTAGTATATTCCTTCATGGCATGCAGAGGAGCCAGTCTAGAGCAGGGGTCCCCAACCTTGACAACTTTAAGACTTGTGGACTTCAACTCCCAGAATTCCCCAGCCAGCATGAAAGAAGTCAGGAAAGAAGATTTAGACTTAATATTGAATGACTTGCAATGGCAAGCATATGCATGGACATTCACTGGAAGAAATTCTTGAATCCTAATTTTTAAGAACATTGGCTAAAATATGGTCAGTTTCTCTGGCAACTGAATTCCACACAAGATTAGATTGGGATCAGAACAGTTGTAGGATTTTATTGGGAGGTTAGGTTTGCAGCCTATTCAAATGGAATCCAGACCAAGTACAGCCTTGGGCTAATTTGCTCTTAAGGAAGATAGCCACTTTTTATTATGAATTCAACAAAATGCTAAACGAAACGCCATAGAATTGCCATTTAAAGTACACATTAGCAGTGATTTCCTTTCAACTAAACATATTATGCTAAATGCAGTACATTTTCCTGTACCGGTCTCTTCAATTACTACTCCTGCGTTAATTTTCTGTTCATCAATATAATAATTGACATTATCTGGCTAAGGGGGTAGTTAAGTACAATATTCCTTTTCCTTTCCAATTTTTTTATAACCTAAATAAAAATTAATATAAAAACTCTGGTTCTTTAATAAAAATTGCAGCTCTGTCTGATAATTGATAAATTCCACGAGAATCCTGAGATAAGTTTCTTTCATTCTACTAAAAATAAAATACTGTATATTAAATGCTGCAGTGATTCATCTAAGGTCAAGCTTTAGACATCATCTGAAATCTCCTAGCAGCTACTGTAAGAGTCTTGCTAGAGTAAGCCAAACTCCTGTTGCATCCAATCTTGTGAAATCACATAATCGAGAATCAAATATTTTCAGAAAGCTCTCAATATCTCTCCTACAGTGACTCCTCAGTAGCTGCTTTTTGAAGAAATAGTGCTATTTATGGTCCAGCTGAGGCTGATTTAATGGGATTGTAGAGGCAATGTGGTGGGCTGAAGCAGGCTGTGAGCAAGTGAAGACATAAGAGCAAACTGTAGCTCCATTCTTCAGTCTTCCCTTGTGCCTTGTGTTTCCCTCAAGTTGCTCAGAGTAGCAGAGCCACCTAGAAGCTAACCTGCTCTATATTAATCAATGGATATACTGAGCTAACAAATGTTTTGAATGGGCACGACCACCTAGCAGCCAATTCAGCTCTATGTTAGCCAATGGGTAGTGGGGCTGATAGAAATTCAAGTGTTCCAGTCTACCCATGAGCAAATCCAGCTTCACTTCAGCTAAGGGATAGCCACTGAGTACACTGGATTGGTTGGATTTGGAGGTTGGGAAAATCTTCCTAGAAGATAACACTGTGTTGGGTCAACAAGTATGTCTGGGTAATGGACTCATTTACTGAAGAAGAATTTTAGAGGGAGATGCCTTTTGTATCCAAAACATTTTTTTTCTAGATACGTAATTTTTGTCTAGTTGAGGATCTATAAGAATTTCATTTTGAATACATAAAAATCCATATACAAAGTTAAACAAAAGGGGGGGGCACCAAAGCTAGAGTCAAATTGGGCTCCCAAATTCCTTGAACAAGCCCTGAGGCTGATCCTTCATGAAGTTGTTGTGAACATCATCACAATATATATTTTTAAGAGGAAAAAGCTAGGTAGAAATGTTTGAAAATAAATACGGTGGGAACAAATTGCCTAGCTTACCCATGTGTCATATAATGAAGTGTTTTTCTTTTTCTTAGCAGTACTTACAGTGGATCTGCACAACCACATGAATGCCAAAGGTCTAAAGCTTCTCTCATATAATTATAAAACCTGGGCCCATAAGGCTTCTAATCATAAGGAACAGTCCTGTGCTTTTCCCTTGAATTAAATAGTTGGCCACTGGAGGCCAATCTCAGGTGTGAAAAACATCTTGCTTCCTTCCTCTTGCAATACACACACACACACACACACACAATCACACACACATATCTCACACACACACACACACATATTATACATATACATACACGCACACGCATACACACATATCTCCACAGGGCAAGAAGGGGCAGATGATTTGACATACATTGCAATAATGTGACATAAACTTTGCCACTTTTGTAATTGCATTGTGATGTTGGGTAAGATCATGATGTCACAGTCGGGAACGTTTCATCATTCTGTTGAAATCTCAGCTTGCTGCAGGACTCCCTCCCCCATTAAAGATATATGTGGGAGAACAAACTAGAAAGCCTACTAACAACTCCCTGCTTTCTGATGGGTAAAGTATCCAGATAGCAAAATCTCCAGTTTGTACTCATTACACCAGCCACCATTTAACTTTTATATGCTCTATTATTATTGAACTGGAACAACAGACTTTCCTACTGATAATTTATTATACTTTCATCTGTCCTTCAAAAGAAAGGTCTTCTGATAAGGTAATGTTTAATAGGGAATTCGTTCTCTTCTATAATATAAGTAATTTTCATTGAAGTGTGATATTACAGCAACATAATGGGTGGGGAAATATAAAGTAAAGCACTACCTTATTCACTCCATCTGCCATGGCTTGTAAGGTCAGTTCTCTTGGCCCATCCACAGTTTTTCCATTATCAGTGGGACCCCAACTAGCACTATAAATATCAATTACTTGAGGCATGTGGCTGATAGAAGAAGCCTCTATAATATCAGTCATAAATGGCTGATCCAACATTCGGATACCTGCAGATTTCATCAATATATATTGATGAAGAGAGAAAGAAAGAATGAGAGGTTTTTTTTAAAACTGAAAAAGAAGTTTATAGTAATATTTCCCAACAGGGGATTTCAATACCCAGAATTTATAGCCTAGCATATGTTATAGCATCTTTTTTTAGAAAATCTGGTATAAAAATTCAAATCATGCGTTGATTTTTTTTCCTGCCACAAAACATAATTAACATCCAGGATCAAGCAAATGCAAATGCAGTGATTCTTTCATGAAATGTGCAAACAGCTTTGGAATGCAAGATCAATTTTTGCAAGTTCAATATTGTAGACTATTTAATTCACCCAAATCTAAGCAGGCTTGGATTTCATGTATCTAAATAGAAAATGTACATGGCAGTAGATAGAAAGTTAAAAAGTTGAAACAAAAGGGTTTTGTTAAAATTGTTAGATCAAATACGTTATATAAATACCAAGTCAATTCTTTCATCTTAATACCAGTATGAATAACAGCCAAAGTTACTGTTCTGGTTATCTTATTCTTTTCAACTGATATTTGTAGGAAATGATAAGATGCAGAGAAAATTCTAGACAGTAACATTATAATCTGAAACAAACTATAATATTAAAATTCCTCAGCTAATTTTTTTTTTAAATATTCTTTAATGTGATAAACAAACTCATCGTAGAGAAGTATTTCTCCAGTTCCTTCCTCTAATTTGCTTCCTTTCTGAAATAAACGTTTTAGAGTTCATTCTAGAATAAAATCTGAAATGACTCTTTCCATTTTTTCCCAAGACACTACTGCAACCATTTCCACTACAGGCTTGAACTGTGAAGAATAATTTGCAACCTTCCTGCATTTGAGTTATTGACTTTTCACCAATATCTCAGTGACCACTTGATGGTGCTAGACCTCAACTATAATCTCATCTAAGAGACTTGAGTCTCTTTATCAAAAATTAATTGCCCAAAAGACTTCGACAAATCTAATATCACTCATGCTACCACTCTGAGGGAACAAACATAACATTTCCTTCCTTCCTTCCTTCCTTCCTTCCTTCCTTCCTTCCTTCCTTCCTTCCTTCCTTCCTTCCTTCCTTCCTTCCTTCCTATTCTGACATATACTGTTCCTATTGCATACAAACTGTGAGTAGTTTATAGTCATTGTATATATGAATAAGCTTTTGAAAGAAGACATACCAACACAATTATAAAAAGATAAAATATTAACAAAAATGATAGTAACAAAGGATCAATGCCAGAAATAGTAATCAATAGCATTCCTGTTACAGGAGGAGTCTACATCAATTTGTCTCCATCTTGAAGGCCTGTGGTCAGCCCCTTTATCAGACAAGCTTCCTGCCAAGAACTATATATTAGGAGTATTTTATGGTTTCATATATATAGTTCAGCAATGTTCATCAACAAGATACCAATAAAAACTCAGAGAGGAAGGGAAGTCAACAAAGAGGGCCAGATCTATATATCCAAAAGACAAATGTACATACATTTGTGTTTTTTTTCAAGTACAGCATGAAAAATTTATACTGCAAATAATCTACTTTTCACACATCCTTTTTTCTTTTTAATAAGAGAGTAATATGGCTAAGGACGAAAACCTCTAGTTTAAGCCTTACCTGCTACCTTTGAATTATAAGCCACTCCAACTCCACAGATATTGTTGTTTGCTGCAGCAGACACTTCTCCAGCACATCGGGTTCCATGACTGTGGAGAAAGGTAGAAATTATAACCAAAGCTCATGGAAGCATCAAGAGACATGTCCCATAGATGCTTTTTCCAAAAGGCAACTGGACTTTCTTGGTCTTTTTCTTGGAAAATATTTCACTTCTCATCCAAGAAGCTTCTTCAGTTCAGAACTTTGAAATGTTTTTTCAAAGAAAAAAACAAGAAAGTCGTGTTGCCTTTTAGAAAAAAGTGTTTTGGAACAACCGTGATCTGGATGATTGAGACTCTCCATAGACATCAAAAAGCATGCACAGATCATTTTAAGTGTTCCTTGTGCAAACAACAGTTTAGATTGCTATCCAGTTTTTGACAGACAAGAAATGGAGCTGCTTCTTCCTAATACTTTGAAGAATTATGAGTTTTGAACTCTGTGCAGCATTCTTTCCTCTTCCATCCAAACCACCATATGGCTTAAAGTAATTTAGAAGGTTCCTTGTTGAATTCTCACCAGAGGCCAAAGCAGAAGAAAGATAAATCTCATTCACTGAATTAAGAAAACAATAATGAAAAAGCAATAATGATTGACACAGAAAGTCAAATAGTGGGTATCATGGAGAATCGTACTGTACCACTCTGTAAAGAAGAAACAATAGCTACAATTATCGGACAACCAATTATTCCCTGGAAGTGAAACTGATGAAACTATAGCTTATAAAACTGCACTAAAATTATAGTGTTTGTAGGTATGTGTGCATGTATCACAATCAGTATAAAGTGGGCATTTGTCAAGGGTTGCCCATTCTTCTATTTGTACTTTCTTTCAGACACATGCAGAGGGGAGAAAAAAGTCACTATATAAATTGGGATATTGTCTGCCGTTTTACTGCCCCCAATATCTTTTCATTCTTTCCATTAAAGATGTGGAGATACTTAAATTTCCCAAATAAATAAGGAAAAAGAAAAGGAAACCAGGTTTTGCTATCCAATAAAGGCGTGATGGTGGTAGAGAGAAACCACCATAGACATCAGACACATGAGACAAATATCTTGCTTAGGTCCATCTCAGACCTGGAATGTCTTTGTGTCTCAGGACTTAATATTCTATCATCCCCTACTTCCTGGAGTCAGTGCTGTGCTGTGCCAATATTTTGATCATAAATATACATTGGTGTTCACAACTAGTTTTTGCCACCAGGCCGCAGTATATTTATTCTGATTGCAAACATATTGCAGACAATGTGTTCCATTGTCACTGCTGAAGGGCAACCTAATAATCCTTCAAGGAAAACACAGGCACATTTCTGACTTTGCTGTCTTTGTTTTAATATTTTTTCCCCCCATTGGACTTGAGTCAGGAAAGGCAAATGTTTATTTTTACTGAGCTCAATCAAAATATTCTTAAAAAGTGTTCCTGCTGGTTTACAAATGTGGCATCGGTATTCAACAGGAAAAGTGATGTTGTTCTGATAAGAGGTGTGCATTTTCTCTGGAACCGTCTGTTTATTTAGCTTTATTTTGATTTCCATTAGATCTATTGTCTTTTCCAACATTCAAAGTTTGCTTTGGGAGAAAAATTTCCCTTAGTAATGGGGGATTTGTTGAAAATAGCATTAAAGGAACAGCCAAAGATCCTGTGTTGCTAAGCATCTATTGTTCAGTATCTGTGTCCTGCGTACGTACACGTTTCTAGTGTTACATATTTCTTACATAAGAATTTCTTTGGTGTAATGGATAAGAGAGCCAATTTAGTATGGTGATTCATTCATCAGGCTAGAAACTGGGAGACTGGGAGCTCTGGTTCTGCATTTGGAAGAAAACCACCTGGGTGACCTTGGACCAGTCACACACTCTTAGCCCTAGTAAGCCTCCAAGGGAAACCACTTCCCAAAAAATCTTATCCATTTGACCTTCATCTTGACTTTATTTATTCCTCTCATGGGTGTCCCTGGAACATTTGTAATGGCCATATCAGTTAATTTTTAGTATGTGTCCCACTAGGTATAAAAACAGGGAAATCTCAGTTCTGTTAAAGGAGCAAGTCTGGAATAAGAGAGAAATCAAACGGGAAAAAGACAAATACATTGGAGCTGACAGGTGGATAGCTTGATTTCCCCAATGGAATTCCCAGAGAAAAGATGGAGACAGGCAAAAAAAAAAAAAAAAAAAAAGCAGCCCCCCCTCAAGATACATATCTCCATCTCCCTAACCTTTGGTGCTGTCAATAGGAATGAGTCTGTTTAGTGTTTGAACAGAAGATACTTGGTACCCAAGTATCTTGGGTATTGACTATTAAGGCTGCACTTATACAGTAGCAGGCCCAGGACAAAGAAATAATGGGTAGTCCTTGACTTACAATCACAACTGAACCTAAAATTTCTGTTGTTAAGTGAGACATTGATTAAGTGAGTTTTGCTCCATTTTACAACATTTCTTGCCACAGTTGTTAAGTAAACCCTTGCAGCTGATAAATTAGTAATCTGGTTGTTAAGTGAATCTGGCTTCCCCATTGACTTGGCTTGTCAGGAGGTTGTATCACATGACCCCGGGGCATAAGCATGAACCCTTTTGCCAAGCATCTGAATTTTGATCACATAATCAGACAAAGAGATGCTGCAAAGGTCATAACTGTGGAACAATGGTCACAAGTCACTTGTAACTTTGTGTTGATGTAACTTTGAATGGTCACTAAATGAAGTGTTGTAAGTTGAGGACTACCCATAACGTATATTTCATTTAAATTGATTAAATAACAACAACGACACAAGTTGTAACTGTTTTAACTATAGTTAAATTGTAATAGTATGTGTGTGTGTGTATACAGCATATGTGTATGTTTGTATGTGTATATTTATATATGCATGTGTGTGTGTGTGTGTGTGTGTGTGTGTATTTATGTATGTATGCATGTATGTGTCATCCATCTCCCTCAAAGACCAAATCAATACAGCTTGCAATATGATAGAAAAACCTAAGCCAGGAAGGAATTGCCTCATATTTGGCTGATTATCTAAGAAATTAAAAAAGGTGAGTTGCTTGGATAGAAATACAAAACATAAAACTAATTGTTCTTTACTAAACTTAGGCCTTTGGCTTAAAGGAATTTCACTTAGTGAACTGAGATGTTTTATCAGAATGCAGAAATCTGAACAGCTTTGGAACTTTGTGCTCTTCTTTTTCTTAATTAATTGGTTGCCCATCAAGTGTCCTGTCATCTTCAAGCAGAAATGAAAATATTTGCAATATTGTACAACTTGGGGAAACTACAAATTAGACAACTCATTTACCATTTTTCAAAACAAACGCCTGTAGGCATGAATCTATATATAGTTGTTGTTGTTGTTTTAAAAAATCATTTTTCCCCTTCCAAAAATGGAAACCTTAGCTGGGAAATCAATCATAAACATCTTATAGGAGCCAAAATAAAAAAGACATTCCAGACCGATGAGCCAATTACTTATTTCATTTATAATTCTGGCTTCCTCTATAGTAAAATTGATTATGGTGTTAGAGAAATATTACTCTTCTCCCATACTTTTTTTCATGAATTAACAGTGTAATATTAAGCATTCTACTTAAAAAGAAGCCCCATTGACGTCTGAGAAGGTTCATTTTAATATCTCTCTGAGTGGGAATTTATCTTTTGATATTTTCCAGTGCACCAAAATGTTTGTTGTCTCACACAAATGAACCCATGAGAGATGATCTTGAACCATTGCAAGATAAATATCAGAAAACAAATATTCTATCATTGCAGTCAAAGACTTTGCACAAATCATTTGTTATTTTCAACTTTAGTTATTTCTGGACTGTAAACATTTATATAACCATAGGATGGCAGCAAAGAGCTAGGGCTTTTTGTTCCATATCTGTTTTCTGTCATCTGGTGGTCATGAAGTCCTGTACCACTACCCAATATCTAATTTTTTTCAGCTCTGTAGTTCTATCCAATAGCAATATATATTGAGTTTCCATTTGCCTTAGGACACAAGTTAATAGCCTGATGGAATCATTAACCTAGACAACAAAAAGACACACATAATGATTGATCCCAAACCATCTTTTGTTAAAACTATCAGATCTGGGCTGAAAAATCCAGACTAGCACCAACAATCTGGTGCCCTTCAGATATTTTAGACTTCAATTTCCCACAATCAGCGTGCTCAATGTATGAGATTGCTGGATCTGTAATCTAAATCAGATGAAGGAGCTCAGGTTATCCATGTCTGCTGTATGTTTTTTATTACTTTCATGGGAAAGAAAGCATACATTTGTGTAAATATTACCTTTTTTCTTATAAGAGTAACAAGTTTAGAACTTAACAAATAATAGATGATTGACTCCTTCTTTTCTCCTTAGGAGATTGATTTAAAAATTATCTATGCAATTTTTAATTAATTTGGCCTTTAGCCACTACCTCCCAGCAATTATCCACTAAAAGTTGCATGAAAATGTAAGAAAAATGTTTCCAGTCTTTCTGCAATAGGTGACTGGAGAAGATAAATGAATTGAAGAGGTTCCTGACATTTTCTCTTGAAGGCAAAGATACCCTTGGTTTGTGAGCTTCTGATTTATCCAGGGGAAAAATATTCATGCTAGAAGATAATGTTTCTAAGTGCATGTTTATATTTGTTTGAAAAAAGCTTTTTTAAAAAAGGAAAGAAGGGATAACATAAGCTTGGCCCAATTAAGTTAAGTGGATTTTATAGAAAGAGTGCTGAGTAAAATTAATGTGTCTTCCCAGAGTGCTCAGAGACTTAGGATTGAGATTCCACTGAAGCCCGAATCCACAGACTCCCTTTTAGTATTCTTACTTTGTAAGCAATTATAGATCAAGTGCACCTTCCCTTGGCAGTCTGGTAAAATTCAAAAGTAAATAGACTGTGCTCAATACAGAAATTAAAATTGATTGCAGGTATAGATCTGACCCAGGTATTCCATGTGAGAATTTTGGTTCATTTGTGTCCTTTCTTTCTTTCTTTCTTTCTTTCTTTCTTTCTTTCTTTCTTTCTTTCTTTCTTTCTTTCTTTCTTCCTTTTTCTTTTTTGCAAAAAGGGAGATCCTTGGCTATAAACTTTATTAGGCAAGCCCAAAGCTTTATGTAATGGAGGCACAAATGCTGCTTCTCATCCTCCCAATACTGTAGTGCAATATCTGGTTTCAGTTCTTGCCGTGGATATCAAATCACATGAGCATCTATTTTTCCTAATCCATTTTTTTAAGAAGGGAAAGAAACATATGATCTGTCAGTGTCCAGCAGCTTCTATATGAATTGTGAAATGGTGACTGGATTTATCCATAGCATTAAGCCATGAGTTGTCTCAAAGGTACTCTTTCAAAAGGCAACTGGACTGTGTTTTTTCCTTGAGGAAGAAGATATTTCCCTTCTCATCCAAGAAGCTTCATCAATTTTGACTGGATAGGGTGGTGGTGGAATTAGTTCAAAACTAATCCTTCCATTCCCTTTCCTCCACCATGCAGTCAGAACTGATGAAGTTTCTTGGATGAGAAGCAAAACATCTTCTTCCTCAAGTTAAAAACACAGTCCAATTGCCTTTTGAAAAAACACCTTGAGACAACCATGACCTGGGTGACTGAGAATCTCCATAGACATCAAGCCATGAATTGTTGATTAAACCATACTAGCTGGATTCACCCCATACGTTAAGCTATAATGCAGAGAGTTCACAATGACTGAGTTCAGACTACAAGCTAAGCTAAAAGTACACAAACCACATGATAATGGGTCTATGAATCTTGACTTGAACATTGACGTCATAAAATATGTAGTTTGTAGAGATTGTGGAACAGTGGTCTTGAGCTATTCCTCCAGGTCAGTAAAAGTCTGAATGGGGTAAAAAATTCCTGACAAGCAAAGGATTTGAATCAATTTCTTACCTGTTAAACCAATCATCTGTGTAGCGAGGATATGGATATGGATCATTACTGCTAAAATCATAGCTGGCTTGAGCATTCTGGGAAACAAAAATAATAGTAAAAATGGTTTATGCCACATAAATAGTCAAGAAAAGCACGAATAGTTAAGAAACTTATTTTCAGCTTGAGTATAATTTGTATTTCATGTGGCCCAATATATATAAACCTCACAGGTTGTTTTTCTTACTCATCTGACTATTTATTCATTTAGAGATGGCTTTTTAAATTACTATTAAACAGAGGGGGGGGGGGAGAGAGAGAGAGAGAGAGAGGTGATATACTAGAAAGCAAAACATCAGCTGTTAACATAACGTTTAGTTAGAAGAATTCCTTTGGGTCCTACATTAAATCCTACAGACATTTTAGAAGATAACCAAACCTCAGTAGCAGCATCCATACTTTGCATGCCGTTATTCTGTTCTATTTGTTTCTCCAAGGACAGAATCAGAGAAAGAATTATTTATGAGCCTGCTGCCTCAAGCCTATATTTCATGGCAAATTAGGTTGGCTAAGGTTGGCAAAGGAGCTTGGCACAAGAGGTATCTTCCTTTTGATACTAATCCATGACTGAATCCATCTGGACCTGTCACCTGTCTACTTTTGTCAGGGCACTAATGGGGTCAGCATTTTTCTTCCTGTCTCTCTTACTCCAAAAAGGTCAAATCTTTCCCTTCCCCTCTTTTCTGAATACCCTCCATTACAGGGCCTACAAAGAATGAGCCTATCTGCTTTTCCAATGTGATTGTAGTGACATAAACAATGGAGAAAACAAATGACCAAATATGTATAATTAAATTTATACATTTGATTTCACTAGAGGGAGAAGGGTTTGTGAATAAGGAATTAAAAAGGAACCCATGTATTATTCATAGTAAGAATTTCAGCAGACTAGAGGAAATTAAATCCACCTCTAATTTGCTGGAATTTTCCTCTTAAAAAATGACAGATTTGTGCCAAATCCAAGCTCTTACTTCATAAATTACTCCCAGACCTTCCTATTCTCACTTAAGGTATGTGAGACCCTGTACTTTTGCCCATTTGGCAAAGCCTTTGTAATTCTCCCATTCTAGGTCATTCTTTGCCCTATTTCTTGTATGTTTTGGATAGCTGGTTAAGACCTTTTTTCATTAAGACATTTGGATGATTTTAATACAGAAATTGACAATGTGGTATATATGGACATTTCCCTTGGTGGATGGCAGGCTCCTTGCTCCATCGTGGTCCATATTCAGCTTGGTTCCCCACTGGGATATTTCACAAAGGTAGCCTTGGTATCCTTATCAGGGATAAAAACCATACTCTGCTACCATGTTGATTCTAGGGAAATCATTGACAATGGGATACTATGACTAAACGAGTTGGAAGATGGAAACCCAAGTGTTATGATATTTCCAATTTTATGAGCAGGATAGCAACCAGGAGGTGACCATGAGAGTTTTTGGTCTGATACCATGATACTTGAATAGGGTATTTACTACTAAATAAAAAACACTAAAAACAAGAAGAAATACAACAATAAAAATGAAGAATAAAAGATGGTGAAGATGATAAAAAAAACCTGACAGGAATGAAAAAACAAACCCACCCAATTCAATCACGAAATCATTGGGGATGGCCAGCCAGAGATGTGGTATAGTCCACATGAACTTAACCCTCACTTCTATCTGTCCTTTCTACTTAATCAGGAGATACTTTCCATATGACATTCCATAGCAGTGATGAACTGAATGAAGGCCAAGAAATGGAAATTGAAGCCATATCTGGCAAATTTTGTACAGATTGTTGAACAGATTGAAGTGATGAAGTAGTTTTTCCTTCAAAGAAGTAGGTGTATATCTTTTTTATTTCAATTTGTCCCTAGGAATTGCATGCCAGGGTGAATGTATGCATGTCAAGGTGGATTTATGTCCAGTTTCAACTACAGTCCTGATGACTTCATAATTGAATGACTGCACTGAAGATTCCATAGAAACTGCAAAGTTTTCTGGGAGAAAAATCCCACATCAAGGGTCCACTATTAGAATCATTCTTTCTCTAATAGCTACCCTTCAAATTTCAGAAAAAAGTCACAGACCGAAGAGCCTTTTTCATGTATATGACTTTAGAACATACACTGGAAAGAAACTATTAGACTGCTGTGAAGCTTTAAAGATGTGTTTTGCTTTGATGAAGCTTTATTTTAATCAATCTATCTAACCAGATTTACAGGTTTATTTCAGTGCAGGAAAATAAATCAGGGGACTGTACAACAATGAAGGTTTGTTTTGCTGAAGTGATTTGGACTGTGGAGGTATGTTTATTTTTTAAACTCTTAAACTCTGAAAGCTCTTATTTTTAAGTTGTAATACGAGATGACCTTTGTTGGATAATTTTAAGATTACTGTGCTTTCCTCAACCCTGATACCTTTGTCTTAAAAGTGGTGCTGGGGAATCTTTTGAATGATATTGCATCTAAACCTTGGAGGCTTTTCATCTGAAGGTGAGTAGAGCTCATTTTCTGTAAAGCATCTTCTGTCCTGTCATCTTCATCCCATTCTACCAAAAAATGAAGCAGTAGCGAGCCTTGAGACTAGACATTGTTTCCCCCCTCATTGAATTTCTAAACCCAATTTGGCTCAAACTAAATTGCCTTGCCTTTGATTTTTCAAAGGCAAACTCTGGTAAAATCGTGTTTCTTTTACCTTCAACTCAACATTGACTAGATGGCTTTCTTTTAGGTCAGAGATAAGCAGCTTGCAACCACAGCTCCTATTTAGGACCTCTCTGGCTAGGATTTCTGAAAACAGACAGCAGTTTCTTGCCATTGTGAGTTAGGGAAGCAGATTAAAAATAACAATTGTTAAATCCTTCGTTCGCGTGCGAATGATGAAGACACATGGTGACAACTAACAATGCTTTATTCTCCTATTCCAACTCCAAGCAAAAAGCAAAAGGCATGCAGGCCTTTTTATAGGGCTTGAAACCCGGACAGAGTGAACCAATAAGAGTTCTTCTTTCTTCGCGCCTTGCGCATATGCACAAGGCTGGTGCCGCTCTGTCTGGTCCCGGGCAGCTTTTAGGATGCCCGGGACCATTTGCAACAATTCTGGGCCTGCTGAGTTTCCTCATCAGGCCCAGGACACAACACCCCTCCCCCCGTGGATAGAACACACACAATTCCAAATTTCTTTACAATAATAATAAAATAAATTAAAAGAAAATAATAATCTGCTCACATGCAGACACCCTTCTTATAACTAATAGAGTTAGCTAACCAACCCACTCTCTAATGTCGACTTTGCATGTCTATCTTCTACCCCACATAGGTCCCATCTCCTCAACCTAGACCTGTAAAGTCCCTTGTACTGACAAGAACCTCACATATTTGCTTACGTGCTTAGGAGGGGCCTTAGCCCATTGTGACCTATGCAAGGTTAGGGAAGGTGCCTGGCCTGTCAGCTCACCTGTCCAGCTAGGCAGACCAGGACTTGCTCTTAAGGGCACCTGGCCTACCGGCCTGTCTGTTGGGCTCGCTAGACCAGGACTTTTATGCACAAGCTTTGCAAGTGACCCCTGGTGAGGCGTGCTGGCAGAATTGCCAGAGCTCTCCCCAGGTTCCGTGACAGCAGCTGAAATTCCCCAACCCTCTGAATTGGCTGAGGATTCCCCAACTACTCTGGATGGCTCCAGGGAACTTTGTCCCTCGAGCCCGCGACCAGTCTCAGATGTGACCTGCATTGCAGGTGTGTCCCAATACTCCCAGTCCTCTGTGGCCGAGGTGCCAGAGTCAGGGGCCGCCTCTATGGCAAACCCCGCCTCAGATGAATTCCTGTTTGGAGCTCTTGTGGATACTTTCAAAGTGAATTGGGCTATGCTAATTGGATTTTATATATATGCTAAAGTGGATTTTATATATTATAAGAAATTACTATATCCATGATCAAATACAATGGGCTTTAGATAGTAATTCTATGTTATTATATAGAAGAAATTCCAAGTGAATTCAGTAGCATTTACTGAGTAGATAAGCGTGGGATTGCTCTAATTTTTGGGTTGCTTTAGGAAGGTATCTAACTATCAAAGAATAACCTGATTATATGGCATGCACACATTTGTCCCACACAGAAGGAGAAGCAACTTGTGATATTATTTTGACATTTAACAGTTTAGCCCAGAAGCAGTTTAGACTATAAGCAGCAAGTAACTGTATAAACGAACTGAATGAGCATTGGTATGGAATCTCCCACAGGATAAATAATTCAGTAGGTTTATTTCTAAATAACATGGTCTATGTCAAAACAACAAATATCCAATATGTGAACAGTATTTATTTCTTTACTTGATACCCTGCTTTTCTGCTGGGGTGACTATCTACAGTGAAAAAAACAAATTTAAGAAATAAAGAAAATTAAAATAAAGAAAAATTAAAATTATATATTAAAAGCAACACTAAATTTGATAGCAAAATCATTTCACTATCAAAATAAAAATTTACACAATCAAAATGAAAAATGATGCCCATATTCAGTAGAGTTTTATATCATTCATAAGATCACTATATACATTTGACTCCTGGCTATTGCCTAGACAAGTTCACATAGTTTTATTGGCAAAGCTTTCAGAAGTGGTTTACCACTGTCTTCTTCCTACAGCTGAGAGACAAGAACTAATTCTGTGTGCGTTCTTGGGAAACCTAAGATCTGTAAACATATATAGCACCCAAACCTCCATTCTGAATATCTGTAGTCCAAGATCACAATACATGGGCAAGCAGTAGGAATGATTGCATGAAACTTTCCTGCACTGGACACCATGTATTCATTTTACTTCCATTTCCCTGGTGTGTAGTTTTTCTAAAGGAACACTTTGGACATCTTTGCGAGCTGTGAGCCTCATTTTCTAACTCTGTAGATTTAATTTCCATTTTTGGCCAAGTGGAGAAAAATTTTTGTTTTCACCTGTATTCTGATCCAGCAAGGAACAATCAAGTTCTTTTGATATGATTCCAAAAAGGTGCTTAGGAGTACTTGGAGGCAGGAATGTAGCACCTACCTGCAAC